AACCTACACAGTTTTTTGCAATCATGATGTCATTGGTAATGATATATTTTTTCTTTTTTTCGAGAAGGATAAGGAGCTGGAGAAGCTTTCACTGAGCCAGTTTAACCATGCTCATAATGCTGATAATCATAAAAGCAAAACCCGAAGTGTTGCAGATTAATCTGGTCCCGATGAAGTCAGCCTAAAGAAAGACAGATTTAGCATGGCTGAGAGCACTTAGTGATGATTATAGGAGTATTAAATCTAATAGAAAAGAGATTAGAGTGATCTAACCTACATGTTTGTTATGGGGCGCATTATAGTGACTAGAGTGCACAATGATATCTCACAGGACTCTTAGGGTCTTGGATGTGGTCTGATCACTTGGGCCATGTAGAACTTTACCTCTTGTTCTGTCCATTGATGTAAGTCACATGTTCTCTAAGGACACAACTAAAAAGGAATCTTTCTTAAACAAAATTTATAGCCATCATTCATACCGCTGCCATTGATCCATCACCAGTGAAAATTTTGTTTTATATTTGCCCTCACTTGTTAATTAATTGTCTAATTGAGCCCCTAAGGTTTAGAAAACTAGCAATTCACATACACAATCAAGATCCTTTTTTTTTTTAAAGAAGTGGGTTACTTTGATATTTGAAGCAGTAAACTATAGCCATGTTATGAAAAATACACTTTATTATAAGACCAGGGCATAAGGTCAGAGGTAGAGATGAACTTATAGATAAGAACACCACATTAAATAACATATAATTCATTTTACATACATTACTTGAATTAGAGATGTGAGTGTGACTTAGAACATCCCTCTATAGAATAAAAGTGGACTGTGAAGGCTTTCACACTATCTGATTTGGTGGTCCCATATCTGTAAGGCTTCCTACTTCAGTTCCTGGGTGGAAAATGGACATCACTTTAGAACTGAACACAGTCCATGTGGTGAGCTGTGAAGAACTGCACATTCACACTGCGATGTCAGTCTCTGATGTTGAACAATGCAGATTCATGCTACATCCTCAAGGAGAACCAATGAAATTACTAGTTTCATTGGTCACTTTGCCATTGGGGGACTTTCAGATAGTGGCATCTTAAGGAAAATACTAATCCCTTTCTTGTGGGAGATGTGGGGAGGAAATATATATATATATATATATAAATATATATATAATATTTAATATATATTTAAGGAATAATTAATATATATTAATATATATTAAATATATATTATTATATATATTAATTATATATATTTAATATTTATATATATTAATTATATATATTTAATATTAAATATATATTTAATATATATTTAAGAGAGAGAGAGAGGCTGAAGCTTATAGGTGTTACACTCAGTTTTGTTTATGTCTTTATTCCTAACTACTTTTCAAGCAGTTGTATTAAAAAGGGAACATGAATGTGTTTCATCCCAGGTAGGATCCTCACCACACAGGTGACATCAATGAAAGTTGTTATTTGTAGAGCCATCTCTCCATCTTTCATATTTCTTCATTCCAGGATTGTAAGCAATGCTCATAGACCCTCCAGATATTCTCACTGAAGGTAGAGCCTCATTCTTTCTCTCTAGTAGTGGGATAACTATCCAGACATATTATAATCTAGAATATGTGCTACAAATAGTATTTTCAGTGGACTACAATATAAAATACTTCATGGCATCATATGTAATGAGAACAGGTATTATAAGTTTCAGGCATGTGAGTATCTATTAGATATTGACATATAACTGATTGCTTATTGTAAGTAAGTCTAAAAAGATTAAGAGCAATTTATTAAGTTGTATTTATTCACTAATATCTGCATTTCCCCTTCCTTTTGGTCATCATAAGAATTCCACCTTAAATTAACTACAAATAACAATTACAGTTAGATGTCACCATAGGACAGAGATCTAGCCAAGGAATTGTGAACAGAAAAGCAAATGTATTCTTTCCAGACTCTGCCCATGAAAACTTTATCAATGTGATCCTTGCTTCTTGGTACCCACAAAAGCAGATCTGAGAGGACATGGAGGAAGGTGGAGACACAAGACAGCTTGTGGAACACTGTTGTGGAATATTATTTTAACTAGGCAAAGATGTGTTTCATTTGTTCATGCTACAGAATATTACTTTAACTGTGTAAAGGTGTATTACTTTTGTTTATGCTGTATTTGTTTAACAACATAAAGATGTGTGTTTAATTATGTAAAGGTATGTTGTATCTGTTTCACCTTGCCTGTCTATGACACCTGATTGGTCTAATAAAAAGCTGAATGGCCAATAGCTAGGCAGGAGAGAGGATAGGAGGGACTGGTGGGCAGAGAGAAGAAAGAGAAAAGAAGGAGAAGAGAATGAGAGTCACATCCGGGGCAAGAAGTCAGGTAGATGCCAGCCAGACATAGAGAAGCAGTGAAAGTAAGGTATGCAGAAGTAAGAAAGGTAATAAGCCCAAAAGCAGAAAGTAGGTGAAGAGAAAGAGGTTAATTTAAGAGAGTTAGCCAGAAACATGTCTAAGCTAGGCTGAGCATTCAAAGAAGATTCAAAACTGTAAACCAGGCTGGCCTGGAACCCACAGAGATCTGCCTAGATCTACCTCCTAAGCAGTGGTATTAAAGGCATGCACCATCATGCCTGAACACAGTGAGCTTTTTTTTGTTTTGTTTTGTTTTGTTTTGTTTTGTTTTGTTTTTCTCTGTGTGGCTTTGTAGACCAGGCTGGTGCCTTGAACCCACAGAGATCCACCTGCCTCTGCCTCCCAAGTGCTGGGATTAAACGTATGCGCCATTCACCATCCAGCCACACTGAGCTTTAAGAGGGGGAGGAAATGAACCTCATGTACTGAGGCACTGACACAGGGAGTTTATAACAAACACCTCAATTTCTTTTCTCACTTATAGAGCTGATAAATTCCACAATGAGGTTTCTGGTCTGCTGCCTCTGGTCATATGAAGCTCCTTTAGCATAAAACACCTGATAAACACGAAGCTCCTTGTGCACAGAATTCATATGAGACTCAGCTTTTCTCACTGGCTAGCTGTGTGTCTACGTTCTAACTGTGATTGAGTCCTCTATTTGGAATTCAGCTTTCTACGCGACAGTTGGGTTTCTGGTGATAGTTCATCTGTTTGGCTGGGTATGATCTGTAATATATTTTAGCGTCAGGTTGCCAACTGTTTCTACTAAACCTTTTCTGATAAAAGTGTTAATATATACATGTAGAACAATTTCATTTCAATAAAAATTTAAATGGTTAAAGAACAACAGTAAATTATAACAGCATTTATTCTGCCTCAAAAGATTATTCTAGATGGCTTATACATCAGCCCTAAATTCCATAATAATCCAATAAATACATTATTACATTCAATAAAAGGTGGGAATACAGACTTGGAGATATTAGAGAATCTGTCCTGGATCACACAGTTAAAACATGCCAGGCCAAGATTCGAACTCACTTTTGTCTCATGAGCAATCCCACACTTTACACCATGTTCCTTACTGGCAGTGATAATCAGAAGAATGACTATTCAATGATGAGAAGCTCAGGTTTCTAACAGCTGAAGTGGCTTCACCAGAGGAATTTGTAACTGTCTTGCTATGCTTTGAGCCACTGTTGTTAGTGAGCAATGAGATAAGAACCAAACTGAACAGCATGTGCAAGGGATTTCCAACTTTGAAACCAAGTGAAACATCTGGCCATCGACTCCAAAGCAGGGTAAGGGAGCTTGAGACTAACAAGAATACATGAGAGCTCAGAGGCTTTATCCAGTAGAAATGGAAGTAGCCAGATTGTATTTTCAGACATAAAATCTAGAACCATGGTCCTGGAGAGAGGGAGTGTTCTAGACAAACCAGTGAGAAATAGGAAGGAAATACTGGGTTTCTCTTAAGATAATAACTTAAGATAAATTAACTTATTTGGCAGCTACTACCTAGGCTAATGACCACGTTCTGGTGCCTTCCTTAAGTCAAGCCTGACACAATGCAGGTAACATGCTTACGAGAATGACAATAGTCCACATGCAGCATTGAGAACAAAACCCCTACACTGTCCTGTACTGTGTTCTTTTACCACCTCTTTATTTCCTTGATCTTGTTTGAGTAGATTTACTTGTTATTCTTCCAATTTTAGCAAAGTTAATCTTTAAAAATGTACCATGTGTAATATACTCCTACAGTATAGAACCTGAATACAGAAGAAGAAATCATGTGTCAAACAGAAGTAGACAGCAAGAAATATTTCATGCTCACCAGCCCACACTGGTTCCACTTACGATACTTCATCTTTGTTTCAATCTACCTATACCATGAGTCAAACTATGAAGGCTTACTTCAGTGTAACAGAAATCATTAATATAAACTTCTCTACTGCCATTGATGATGGAACTCTATCAGAGTGCCTGTTACATTATGATTTGTAACTAATAAGTGGACTACCTGGAAAAAAAAGAGTTCATAAAATGTGTAATGTGTGCATCTCAGTGTCATTGATTGTTTTTTTTTCCTGATAATACTTGATGTTAAATTCTAAAGTCATAGTCCATACCCTCTTAGAGCACTTTTTATAATCTTGAAGGCAAGAGTAAGTACCTGATGGCTGCATTCGTGCCATCCAGGGCAAGTACTTGGGGTTTCAAAGCCACGCCTCCCAGTCCCACCATCAGTAGCGTTTGAGCAGCACTAGCACAACCCTAATTGACTGTATAAACATTGACAAAATCAGTTTCAGCTGCCTGGGACTCTTGCTTTTCATCATGTCCTTGCTGTTCTTCAGCCAGTGTGGTTGGAATGAGTTAGTCTGGATCTGGATTCAGAAGCTTCATTCACACTGCTCTAAGCAAAATTTCATCAAAATATTTACCTCAATAATTTGGCTCAACACTTCCCTCAAATTAACTAAGGCACAGTGTTCAGCCAGGTTGCTGTAGAACGCCCCGGAGCAGGGCAGAGCTGTGAAGAAAGGGTGCAGTCGGGGGAGTGAGAAGCTGCATGCTGAGGAGATGCAGTCCAAAGTGTATACAACATTTATTAGCTAAAGTACCACGAAAAGCATTCTAATCAGTTGGTTTCCTCTCATTAAATGTTAATTAGTTCATATAAGCTTCCTGCATAGGAAAGTATCAGGTACTTAGCACGCATTAGGAAAGAGACGAGTCACATGGGGAGTCTTGGAAAACAACCGAACAGAGCAAGGACATTTTCACATGTCTGGGTGACATTTCTGTTTGAAGGCATATGTGAGCTCCTTGAGGGGAATCCAGAAGATCTGCCAAAAACAAACATAGGCTCCGGATTTTCATTCTGGTAACAAGTCTCTGAAATAATGTTTGTTGAATTTTTAAAAACATACTTAATTCAGGAGATTAGCTCCTGAATCAAAGACTATGATTATATTTAGATACATTTGCTCACACTGTTTAAAACCGCAGACCCAGATAATCCTATCATGTTAAATGACCTTTTATCTAGATCGCTTTAATATGCTAGCCCATAAACCACCTTGGCAAAATGTTGTGCAAATAAGGAGAATAAAACCCAAGGGCTTTGTGGATCACAAGTCATTAAGTGCTTTGGAAGCCAGCTGTGGGATCCTAGAGGATTGAGAATAGACAGGACTCCAAAGGTAACTTCCTGTCTGACATGTAGTCAGCCCATTGGAACTCTGCCACATTATGGCACATGACAGCTCATGATCTGACTACCTGGTGCTGATCCCCACATGGTTGTTAACGATCATGAATATCACCCCTGACTCAGACACAGCCACACAAACTCATACCTGTCTTACTAAGAGAATTTTAGAATTTAGGTTTGAGTGATTTCCATAGTTCTCCTTTGGTGGTCTCCATGCTAGTCTCCTCTTTGAATTTGCTATCATTTCTGTTTATACACTGATAATGTTTGTAACCTCATGATGTGGAATGACAAGGGTCATAGTGAAGATTGAACCAGCTTTAGTAATAGAAAAGGGGCTATAAATGGACGCTTTTTAAAGAAAGTATACCGAATACTTATTGAGTATATACTACATGATCAACATGGACAACTATAAATAATAACTGTTGAATCTTTACATAACCCTATTATAACCATTGTCACAAGTTCCATTTACCGGATGAAAGAACTGTCAGAGAAAGAGGATGGGTAATTCACAACTGCTTGTATAGCTTCCATTGATCTTCCTGCCATCCCAGTGTTCAGGCTGCATGGGATTTACTCCCATTGGGTTTGAACTAGACCTAATGGCCCATGTCAAACAAACAGAACATAGCAAAAATAATGAGATATCACTTTCATCATGTGATTACTGAAAGACTTGGTATCTGTCTTTCTGCTGGCTTTGATGAAACAAATTTCTGTGTGAAAACACCCATGGGACACAGGACTCCAGCCATTCACTAGCAAAGAATTTGGTTCTCAGTCCAATAGAACCTTCCTATGAATCATAAGTGGCTCCTCCCCCAAATGACTCTTCAGATGAGATCACAGACCCTTGACCAATGCCTTTATTATAGGTTTTTGAGAGGTAAAATAACAGAGAACACAGCTCAGTAGGGATTTCTGCCCCACATAAACTGTGAGATGATAAATAGCATTGCTTCAAACTCACTCGATTTGGAGCAATATGTTATGAAGCGTACTATAATTGATATTTTCATGTAACTATTTTCTCTGAATAGGAACATTCCCTCCTTGAAGAGAATCCCAAGAGGAGTATGAGACTCACAAGAAAGGTTAGCTCATGAAAAATAAGACTCACAAGGGCCCACAAACAGTGGACAGTTGTTGGGGAAGAAGGCTCTTTGCTGGAGCTGCCTGCATGTTGTGCAGAGAACCCCAGTCAAGCATTTTGCATGAGTCTTCACCTATTATGGAATGAGCTTTCTTTTTTGATGATGATGATGATGCAACTACCTGTGAAGAATCCTTCACCCACCCATGCTCCTTTAAGGAACCCAAGTGAACTCACTGGTTCAGGAAGCTAGACTTAGAATAATTTCTTTGGTAGACTGTTATGGTATCTGTGATGAAGAGCCATTTGTGTGTGTGTGTCCACAGGAAAAGTCATCCAGCATATTTTAGCTGAAGACAACACATGTAGTAAGTGGTGGAGACAGGAGTGACTCCCTAATTTAATGTCTTTCTAATTGCACTGTCACCATCACCATTGTCATACCACCACAAGTTCATCATCCTCACTATCACCACCTCCATCACCCGACTATGATCTTAAGTATTCTATACAAATTATTTTACCTGGTCTCCAAAATGACCCTATTGTTCCACTTTTATATTTATTAAAACAATAAAACCAACCGAAGAACCAGGCAACTTAAACTCATCCAGAGTGATAAAATTCAAAATTCAGCCCAGCTGATGGACTGCAAAGCCCATGTCCTTCCATCTAAATTGCTGCTCCTTTATAACATAAATGCTAAGCAATAAAGAAACAATTCTTTGTAGCATTGAGAAAAAAACAGCTTAAAACAATTCATTAACAAATTGTTGGTAACAGAGCCCACCTGGGGGAAGCTTCTGACATCACCTCAAGTCTGTGGAGAGTTTGAGGGTGTGGCAAGCAGAAGACTTTTGTGAAACTCTTTCTGGCAGATATAACAAAAAACAAATTGAAACAGCACCAATTATATGCCACTAAGTTTCTTCCCAAAAAGGGAAGTCATAAAATCTAATCTAATGTAATAATAACTTGTATTTCCTATGAAATCTTGGATAATTCCCCATTGCACATTAGATGAGAGTGCTCATACTCCTTGGCAGAGCTTCAAGGTCTGGCTGACTGAAGCTAGCCTCAAGTTGGGCTCCATTTTCTTACAGTCACCATCCATGGGAGTCAAGTCTGTTCATACTCTGTCAGAGCCTTGATTTCTCCCACCAGATTGAGCACATTGTTTAGCAAAAGCCCAAGATGAAAGTTTTGTGAGAAAAGAAAATAACATTAGGAGGGGAGGAAATTTTAAAAAGCAAAAAGAGTAGGGAGAACTTTGCTCTTTTCACTTTAGCAAAGGACCCTTGAATTCACATATTCTGATTTGTGGCCTGAGTAAGTCATTCAGGATTCCAATATTCTTAGGTTTATTGCACTGCCCTCCCCGAAAATTAAACAGAAAAAAGTAGAATTACTGGGAATGTAGCACATACACCATATATTACCCTCTTTGCTACACTTTCTGTTCCTATGGTCCTACTACCCATTCCTATCTTGCCCTTTTGGTTTTTGAGTTTTTAAATCACACGTATATGAAAATTCCTATACGTATTTAAGAGAAACTAAAGTGTCTGTTAAGTCTACTATGCTTCTTTTGGTAGAAACAAAGAATAGTGTAATGCCGTGAGTTATAATGACCCAATTAGGCTTGTCAAAATATTTGAAGAGCTAACTGGGAGGATATGATACATGCAGAAGTATACAAATAAGGGATATACCAATAAGGATCACTTTAAAACAATTCTTGAGTCCACTTCGAAACTAGGACTGTTGGCATGGTTCCATGTACTAGCCGTTGCCTCATTAATCATCTTTTGGGGAGTTGTTCTATTTCTATATTTAGCCTCTGACCTCGTTTTTTTGGTGAGCCGGTATCATGGTCGTTGTCTTGACAGAATCCTTCAGCCTTCAGCTGTCAGCCTTCATCTTCCAAGCTCACACCCTCTTGACTTGATTGCATTAGACTCAGTGGGAAAAAAGAAAATGACCTCAGTGGTGTTTATTTTGTTTAGCAGGAAGGAGATTTGGCTAGAAGAAGAAAGAATGGGACTGTCATCTGTGATTCCAAGGATAAGCCTGGGAAAGACAGGATGAGACATGTGACTGTCTCATTTCTTATATGCAAGCAGAAATGGTTGAACTGTGGCTTTGTCCTTCTCACTGTATGCATGAACTTCGTGTGTGTGTGTGTGTGTGTGTGTGTGTGTGTGTGTGTGTGTGTGTGTGTTTTAATTTCAACAAAGCTAATTGTTTTAAACAGTGTATCTAGAACTCTATGGACATTAAAGAACACAAATATGTCTGTCAAGCATTTTGTGTTTCCTTTTCCTTTCTAGAACTTTAGGTTCTAATCCCCAAACATTTCTCTCTCCCAAGTACTGCCTATCCTCTCCCACACCATACTTTCTCTGCCCTTTGGGCACAAACACTATTTAGATGCATGTTTAGAAACTTCTTTGGATAGGAAACCTTATAAAACAAATTATGTCCTTCAATCCAAGGATGCCCTGGGGAACACTGAGGTGTGCAGAACTGTCTGTCCTTCACTAAATGGTCCCAGATGATTGTCTATACTTTCCCGGTTCTTAGTTCTGTTTTCTATTATTCTCTGTCTCCTCTCTGCTGCCAATATATTGTGCCTACTTCATTCCCCACAAATTCTGACCCACAAAAATGTGTCCCCTAAAAAATCAATTTTTGTTTGGGGAAGTCAAAAATAGCTAGGATCTTAGCCATCAGTATTTACTTTCTGACCCAGGAGTTTACAGCTGAACACTTTGAGGTTCTTTGAGAGGCATTCTGAGAGCCAAAGCAGCACAGCTGTATCAGATACAAAAGACAGTCACTATAGGAATAAAAATAAAAACAAACTTTTAATGACCCTCAAAGTCTATATTTAGTATTTTATTTTGGAAATTGATTTCTATTTTACCCTAAGTCCAATAAACAGCCAGTACATTGGAGGCAGTTCCTCCTGTAGTCATATTTGCTGAACTTTATTGAATTTCCTTTTCCTAATGAGTCATGAAGCCTGAGTTAAATGTTAAGTATCAGGGTTTATGGAAGGAACATGTATATTTGCTTTCTCTTCAATTAAGGAAAAGCTGGATGACCTCTGTACCACTGAGATTTGAGCTTGGTGATAGCCTGGATTTCCATTTACCAAGCCATATTCTGCTAAATTCCCCACAGTATGTAAGAATGGAGAAGGCAAATGAACGTTGGCTACCTATTAGGTACCGATCTGAAAGGACTTTTGTTGTCTCAGGAAGGAGAAACTTAGAAGCATTCTTGTCATAAAGATGAAGTCACTTCTGCCTCTGTGCTATTGCTATTGTAGGCATAGAGAATCTGGGAATGAAGAAGGTTATCTCAAAAATTCAAACTCAAGAGCAACTTAGTCCAAGTTTAAGACCCAGTTAGGGGCTTTATAGTTAAGAACATTTGCTGTTATTTCAGAGGAAGTGAGCTCAGTTCCCAGCACCCATATCAGATGCTGTAACTCCAGCTCCAGGGGATCTGACACCCTCTACTAGCCTCCAAATCCAGAAATTATTTTTAAATGTGCAGTTCCAGCACTACTGATCCAGTTTCCAAAATTTGAACCTCAGGAATACGTCATTTGTTCCTTTCAACCTCACAATCCTTCACTCACTCTGATGGTGTAATGCAAGAATCATGCAGATACTTCCCATTTAGTCCTTTGACAGATACATGGGTGTCCCTCCCAGACATTCGCAAACTGCTTGAAGACCTGTGTAAATGAACTCACTGTCTCACACAGCAACTGGTGCCACCATGAGTGGTCCATGAGAAAGGGATTCCCCTATCAAGAACTGACATCCACCTTCTAGTAAAGTCCTCTTATTAATCCTGATTTGTTCATCTGAAAACATACCAACAAAGCCTAAACACTTCACGGGACATATGTGTCAAAGTACTTAAGGACTACTTCTAAATTCTCTTCTTCAAGGGTAGCTCATTGTCTTTTGAGAGTCCACTGGCTTGCTGAGTAACCTTGGTATTCACATTTCAGCTCATCTAAAAGCCCACAGCTACAGCCCCTTAAACCTTATGTTTCTCCAATTTTCCCCACTCAGTAAATTAATCTCCTTCCCAGTGTCAAGGCTAAGACCCTGAGCTGTCAGGGTTTCATTCTTGATCTATTCCTTAATTCCTATGCCAAGTTATTACATAAGGCAACTTACATAATTAGTTTCTTAAGAAGCATCTTTCATATCATATCCCCAGTGTCTAAATATAGTAAATACTCAGTAGGCATCTGCTGAATTAATATTAAATTAATCATTAGTGCCATTAAATATATTTCAAACCTCTTGTTGAAACCAGATGTGCTATGAACCCTGCCTCCTCTTGATCACATGAGACAAGAAACTCTTTTATACTAGGAAATGCTGTAAGGCTAGTTCTAGTTATTATTCACATGCTTTGCTGAACCTCAGTGGTCATATCTGTCCATATCCTTGCTCAAATATCATCATTAGTTATCACATAGTTTCACAGATTGTTAGAAAATAAAAGCACCATGGAATTCATATGCTCTAATTCCCTATCAGTAGATACATGAAACCTAGGATACAGATATTGGTTTTCATCAAGGGACATACCAAATCAGTGTGGGAACCCTGTCCTTCAAATCAGAAGGAATGTGCTTCTTACAAGCATTAATTTTCTGGACACCTATTGCCCTTCACAATTTCTCCAGCCCACTCCTAAGTCTATTTTCTCAAATATCTATTGCCCAGAGACTGACATTTTATTTATTTTTTAGCACTCAAAAGATCTCATTATGTTTTTTCAGAAACATTGGCCTTCAGTTACCTTAAACCAAGGCAAGATTTAACCATCTCTATTTTCTCATGTATTTTCATTAATAAAAGATGCAAATTAAAAATACTGATGAATATTAACCAAGTTACCCTTCTACATCAACAGGTATACATCTTCTTTCTTACTCTTCTTGATTGGTACATGGCTTTAAGACATACCTTTGTCATGCATAACAATTTTACAACTATCATCTATGGGCTGTCTATCTAACACAAGAGATACTACTAGCCATATGTTGTTCTAACACACTGGTAAGGTTGCTAGTCCAAACTAAGATGGGCTATGTGTTTAAAATATACAGCCAATTTTGAAGACCTACTAACCTACCTTATTAACAAGTCCAAACTGGTTATATTTTGAAATAATATTTTAAATAGCTTAGGTTAACTAAAATATATTACAGCCAAGTTTCTCAAATTTTTTTTATTTGTTAGAGTGACTACTACAAAATTTAAAATTTTATGTGGAAATCCCAGAATTTATATTGGACAGTGTTTCCATAGGCCTTAGTCATTAGAATCATTACCTCGGTTTTACATTTCTTTATTTTCTACTTTTTGTAGTAATATGCTTGTGATAGTTTGAATGTAATTGGCCCCCAAAGGCTCATAAGGTGAGGTACTATTGGTAGGTGTGGCCTTATTGAAGTAGGTGTGGCCTTGTTGAAGGAAGTGAGCCAAAAGTCTACCTCCTGTTGCCATCTGATCAAGATGTAGCCAGCACCATGTCTGCCTGCATGCTGCCATGCTCCCCACCATGATGATAATGGATTGAAAATCTGAACTGTAAGCTGCCACCTCAATTAAATTAATGTTTTCCTTTGTAAGACTTGCCATGGTCATGATGTCTCTTCACAGCAATAGAAACACTGACTATGAAAACGTTATTTCATATTTGTGCAAATTCAATAAAGGCTCAATTCGGCATGAAGATTGCACTTGCATTACACTGAGCTCTATACACCCCTCGTACCTACTTTTTCAGTAGTGTTGTTCCTGGAGTCATTGGGGCCAGAGCCTCAGCCTTGACAGCTGTAATAACCCAAGTTTCCTCACCTTCCAAAAAAACAAACAAATGATAAGTTAAGCAAACAAGTAACAATAAGGAGCAGAAGGAGATTTTTCAATGTAGCTACATTAGAAGCAGGGACAAAGAGATCCAGTGACTTCTCTTGAGTCTGCCCTTGAGTCTTGGTGTGAGCTTTAGTTTTAAGTAGAGGGCCAGAGGTATGCAAGACTAAGAACAAGCCTAGCCAAGATGTGTTGTTGTCCCACTCATCACTGATCCATCACTGACTGGGTTGCATTTTCTCATGCAACATCATCTGGCATGTGCCAGAACTATATGCAATCTCTTTCTTTCTTGGAGATAGGAGATAAATCCCTCCTCTAAATGGCACCAAGCTCCAGCCTTCTCCTACCAGCACAGGATTCCTAGGGAAATTCCTCTTTCAGGGGAACCATTGTTTCATTAGTCTCATAGCCAAAAGGAGGGACACAAGTGTCTCTTTAAAATATTATCATTCATCCCAGACTGTTTCTGGTATCCCTGAGCTTGGGGCTTGTGAGAAATTTGTGAGTACTTCATAGAGTTCTCAAGTACCTTGACTGGAAGGTGAAACTCCATTAGCAACAGTAATGTTGATAATGATGGTAGTGGGTTATTGAAGATCTACTATGAGCCAGATACTGTGATAGTATTTTATATACACTGTTGTAATATTCATAATAATCAAACAAAATAAATGTTAAATGTCTATTTTGCAGGAAAAAAATGTTCAATAGTAATGTGGCAAAAGCTAGCTTGTTCTTTCCCAGTCTGTTCACAGCAAGGCGGCTTTTCCCAAGATATGAAAACAAAAAGTATCTTCAGATGTTGCCAAATATAATCTACAAGACAAAATTACCGCCTGTTGTCGAAGCTAAAAAGTATTGGCATTGAATGGCAATGGCCCAGCATTATCGCTTTAGTTCAGTTTGTTAGATGAAAGTTTTGACAACCCGTGTCAGGGTATACCTGTAGGCAAATGAAAGTTCCTGCATTATCCCCAGTGGTTGTAATCTATCCTTTGTGTCTCTGTTGCAGCTTCAGGTACTGTGTGGAGTTACTTTTTCCACTTTACTGTTTTGACTCATGAACCTATACAAATAAAACTTCTTGCCCCATACCACTGTTGCTCTACTTTGCCCAAACAATCTTCAGGATTAGAATAGTCCAAACTCAAACTCATGAGCGACTTTACTAATTCATGAGTGGATGTATAGTAGCTCCATCTTAGGGTTCACAGTCAGCCAAGAAGTTCTTATGTAATTGAGGAACAAAAGCAAAAAAGACCTTTAAAAAAAAAAAACAAGCAAAACCTGGGGCCAAGAGATAGTTTAGTTCATAAAGTTCATAAAGCACAAGAATGAGAACCTGAATTCTGTCCCTAGAAGACACACACACACACACACACACACACACACACACACACACCCCCCATACACTCACTCATAACAACAGAGTTGAAGCTAACATTATTATCCCTAGGGCTTGATGATTAATGCTGATGCCCACCCTGGCCTACTCAGAGGAGTTCCATACAGGCCAGTGAGAGACACTGCTCAAAAAATATAGTTGACAACATTCCCAAAGAACATCCAAGATTGCAAGCTTGTCCTTTGGCCTGCACACACACAAGTATACAGAGAACTGTTATGTGCACCTGTTATGGGAGCACAGACACACAGAGACAGACACACACAGACACACACAGACACACACACACACACACACACACACACACACACACAGAGAGAGAGAGAGAGAGAGAGAGAGAGAGAGAGAGAGAGAGAAAGAGACAGAGACAGAGACAGAGACAGAGACAGAGAGACAGAGACAGAGACAGAATACCACCTTAGGCCTGGATGGAAAATTGTTTATTTTATTTAGTTCAAGATGTCCTCATCTAGTACTTTTTAAAAATAATTATTTATTGCACCAAGAACTTCTTTACTCACTCCCTCTGAAGTGAGGTAACTGGTTAGAAAAGAAGAAAACATTTTTAGTGCTCACTTGGATGGCATGGTTCTAGGCTACAGCCTGTTTCTCTATCACTTACTTAGTGATTACTATTTTGAAATGCTTGGTATCCTTATCTCTTTCCTGTAACACATTAGTTTTGTTTGTTTGCTTTCTCCAGATACAAACTGGGACCCAGTCACATGACTCATGAACTAAGGCTTTTTAAAGCCCCTTCTTGAGAATTATACCAATCTCCAACCTTCCTTTGGCAAGTCCAACATCCTTTCAAAGACAATGTGATACTACGATGTAGTTAACATTAAATTGTAAGTTCCACAAGGCTAGGCACATGTATCTGAACACTGGCTATGTTCAGAATACGCTTTCAGCTCACGCTGCCTCTGCTGCTTTTGGGTAGTGAGTTACTTTGTATATACAGAGAATGTTCGTTTTCTTTTTCCAACTCCCTTTCAAATCAGGTGCAGTTTGAAAGAAAAGTATTTTTTTAGTCCAATTCCCTTTGAATAATAATAAGGAAGAATACAGAAAGATATCCTGCTGCTTCCTGCTGAATTATTTCAAGGCTGTTTTAAAGCTGATCTACCTAACTTTAATCGGGTGCAGACAAGAGCTTGATGATCTGTGCATTCTAAAATTTCTCTGCTCCAACACAAACCCACTGCCTGACAGGGAAGCCTGACACTTGGAGGGCTGTACTGTCTGACAAACCGAATTAATAATGAATGAACCCATCTTGTATAATCAGAAAGGGGAGGAATGCTACAAATTAGGAATAAGTATGCTCTTCATTATGGATGGCAGCAGGATGCTGCTTAGGCTATCACTGATGCTCAAATTAGCTGTGGGGCACAGGGACCACATGCTGCTCTCACTGTTTCTTGCTTTCTCTTGAGAGTCTCCTTCTCAAGGGATTTGCAGAATGAGAAATGCAAACTTGGGAGATAACGTTTGTACCTCATGAGATTGGCAACTCCTTGTTCATCTAGGGTATATAGACATTGTAATGGGTTGCATTTCCATCTTAAATTAAGTTAAATTTCTCATATTTTCCACATAAATTACATCAAAATTATGCCAAGATGGGAAGTTTTGTAAGATTTCCTGTATTCCCAGGAGATCCTTATTTTGAATATCATGCACTTTCTGAAAAAAAAAAAAACTGCCCATGTTTGAATCAGGGAGAAGTTGCTGGTATTTATTTGGTTGGAGCTTGCTTTTCTTGAACATACGCTACCAAACACTACCTGTGAAACAACACACACATGCATCTATCCACATATACAGAAACTAAATAAACACACTCAGCATCACTTCATCTACAAAAGGAGCAACAACAAGAGCATGCCATTACCACAGACATTACACAAAATAGGGAAACTAATTTTCCCGATCCAGGAATGATCTTGGGCCTGAGATAAGCTGATAACCTGTCCTTGGATCTACATGGTCTTGGTAAAAATGGTGAAGATCCCTTTAACTTATGGTCCTAGCCATGACCACCTGTCCCTTTTCCATTACTAATATCTTGGCTCCTTGATGCCATGAAGGTCTAGATCAGGCTAGGTAGCTTACAACCTATGGATGATCACATAAATGAAAAAAGTCATGGTTGTAGCATACATACTTGTGAGAAATGTCTAGACTAGGACAGAGGTAGACCCAATTGAAATAACCAATGTGGCATTCTCAAGCCATAATTATTTGTTTCTGAACATGTTGACCAGCAGAAGATAGACTGTTATAAAACAGATGAAGTAGCTCTCAGAACTTCAAGTGTTGGCATCTAGTATATGAACTGAATGAGATCATCATTTCTGTTCTGGAAGCCTTGAAAAGTTCTGCCAAAATCAGAGGAATACCTCCAGCATTCAATGAGGGGCTGAAGTCAGAGGTCTTGGAGCATGGAAATTCCCAAGAAGAAAAGAGCAGGTCAGTGTGTGGCCACAATAAAAATTGGAAGTGCAACCCCCCTCCCAGAATTAAGAAGCCATAATGCACCTGACATTACTTGCTACAAGTCAGGAGCAAATGAATGAAGAAATGCTTCAGATCCCTATTCCCTCCCTGTTTTCCTTCCCCAGTTCACTGCATATGTCTAGCCTTGGTGAATCATTACCATTGAGATATACTCTCAAAAATGAACCTGTGACCAGCAGATGGGTGTTGTGCAACAAAACTTTACTGGTGAGATGCAACACTTGTGTCTACTTACTGAGAAAGGGATCCCATGACAAAGAAAAGTACAGACACTACACAAGTCTAACCTGGTGAACCAATAAGTTTTATTGGGGCTACTTACATGAGTAAGGGTGAGGGGTTACTTACAGAAGTAAAAAGAACTCAAAGAGAGCTGTATAACCAAGGGACACACCAGCAAGGTTGACAGCTCACAACAACCAAGAATATGGAGCACACTGCACAGCTGCAGGCAGCTCAACAGGTTAGAGTGTCCTTTCCCACTGACTCTAGTCAAAATCTCTTCTAGGCAGCTGGCCTGGTCTCAGACTTTTCTTTGCAGCTCAGCTTCCTTTCCTCTGAAAGGGAGTCTCAGTTTTTACCATTTGTCCTGTCGGGGAGGGGCCTGATGAGTCTGATCAGTTTCAGGGACTTCGGGACTGTTATCCAACACTAGGCAAACTGTCCACAACCAACCCTAATTTCTGGAAGCGCTGAACACTGCAGTTCGTGACAGAGGAACTACTGTGCAGGTGCAATGAAGCAATCAGCTGGGGTTGGCAAGGAGCAGTTGTTTTGCATTGCCCAGATGAGCTCACAAGGATCCTTACAAGTCAGAAAGTGTGTCAGTCTGAAAAAAAAAAAAAAAAAAAGACTTTTCTGAGTCAGGGGAAAGATTTGGACAGTGATAGCTGGCTTTTAAATTTAAGAAAGCCAGGCATGTGTGGCGGCTAAGGCATGTAATTCCAACATGTGAGAGGTAGAGACAGGATGATAAGGAATTCAAGGTCCTCCTCAGTTATACAATATTGGGAACCAGTCTACCTCAAAAATGCCCCAAAAGAAAGAGGCTTGT